CTGCGTGCGACTTCACGGTGCCGTGAGAAGAACGATGAATCCCGTCCCACAGCCTTTTCCTTGTGCACTGTGGGGTCTGCAGAGCACCCCCACTGGAGCAGTGGGATTTCCAGGTCTGGACATGATGCCGAGCGTGTCACCCCTCTCTGTGGGGTGGCAGCAGGATCAGATGCAGAAGGCAGGCTGGCCAGCTGCCCCCCATTTTGGAGCAGGAGAGCATGGGAAGAGTTCTATAGGCACAGCCCTTTGATGGGAGCAGCTCTCCAGGGGCGAGCTCACGTCCTTCCCACAGAGCTGAGGACGTGTTAGGGCCATAGGGACATATGATGTGTACCATGATGTGCCACCACTGTGTCTGGGGTACCTGGGATGGAGCTGCAGGGCAGTAGCATGAAAGCACAGATGCCTGCAGCAAGCAGCCCCTGCACTTTGGCAGTCCTGGGCCATCCCTTCCCAAACCTTGTCCAGCTCCTGTCACTGGTGGGGCTTGGTTTAAACCCACAGACGGGAACTGGGCTCTGGCTTACCAACAGTGAGCATGCAGAGCATCTCCCAGCCTGGGAAAAAGCATTTTGCAGCCTTTCTCCCGCTTTCACCCCTTGGCAGCAGCACAGAGCGCAGTGACCAAGGCCAGATCCTGGAAGGTGCTGGGCAGCCACAGCCTGGAGCTCAGCTCCTTGCCGAGCTGCTGTGTCAAGCTGAGGGCAGGATCGGGCCCGTGCCCTTCATTATATAACTGTTTCTCCACGTGTTTTCGTAGCACTCAGCCGGGCAGAGCCCCCACCGGCAAGGGGGGAATGTCATGTTTTTCTGAATGCATAGCTTTGATTTCACGCTGGGTTGTAGCCGCGGCCAGTTCCACCCTCCCCCCTCCCAGCTCAGGCACCTTGTGGGGCATTGACCAAGACACAGCCCCCCTGTGAATCACTGGCCAGCAAGCTGGAGGTGTCACCTTGCCTGGAGTGGGTGATGGAGCTGTGGGGAGAAGCAGGGTCCCAGAGGACAGGCCAGGTCCGTTCATCTATGGGGCTCAAAGAGCTCTTAGAGCCCTGCAGATGAACCGACCTGGCCTGTCCTCTGGGACCCCACACTGTCCCTGCTCTGCCCCAGCTGCCTGCCCTCACATTCCTGTCCCCGAACATCATCCCCCTCCAGCTGCTGGGGAAAACAGCCCCTGCTGCCACCAGCGGCTGGGGTGGGGAGGGGGAGCTGCCTTCGCAGCGTGCAGGCTCCGTGCGAGCCGGGGCTGCTGCTGGCCTTGGAAATGCAGGGGGTTTGTGGTTTTCTTCCTCCTGACTCCAAGAGAAGCAGGAGGTGAGGCACAGCTGGCTGTGCAGCCCTGCAGATTTTTTTTCCATCGCCGGTGGGACCATGGCCACCCTTGTCCAGGAAAGAGGTCCTCACGGGGAGCTGTGCACTGCTCTCACCCACATGTTGGAAGGTATGAAGGCAGAAGATGCGGCCCCACACCTCCTTTGCAGGCTGTGATTTGGGGGATTTACTCCTAATTAATGGGGGGGTTTGGTGTGACGGCTAAAAATTGGGCAATAGGACAGGTTGTGGTGTCTTGGTGGTGACTAACAGCAGTGGGACAGGTCAGCTGTTCTCCTCCAACACATCACTGAGGAGGAAATCTTGATGCCTTCCTGCTTCCTGGTGAGAGTCGCGCTCTGTGTGTGCTGAAGGTGACTCAGAACCAGCCCAGGGGCTGGAGCCGTACTCCGTACTGGGTATTGCCTGTAGACCCCAAAAAGCAAGAGATTTCCACCACTGACCTGGTAACCTGCAACCAGACCTCGGACCAGCAATTCTCACAGCATCAACCCTGGCCAGACAAACTGGTTGTCACCCGTACGGGCATGTCACCAAACTGAACAGCAAGTAATTCTGTATCTAAATCAGTGCTGCAGTCTGGGCTAAAAGTCATTTCATGACCTGGCTTGTTCCACTTGACCACTGGCTAATGTTTCTTGTTGTAAATGATATTTTTTCCTGTTGTGGATGAGGAAGATCTAAGGACAGGAGAAGGGCATGCTTAGGGCAGCGAAAAACAAGAAGCTGCAAACACTTCCACATTTGTGGGGGCCCCTTCAGCCTCATTAATCTATGTTTAACAGCAAGTCTGGAGTACACCAGCAAATACACAGTCAAAAAACAGTATTAGCAACAAGTGCTCTTTTCCCCTTAATCTCTTCATATTTGGGGAATCATCATTGTTGCCTGGAATAATCACATGCTCTGTTTAGCTGTAACACACTCTGGAAATCTCAGCCACGGGGTGGGGTACCTAAGCTGACTTGCCAAAGCATCAGCCCTATGTGCCGGATTTGAACCAGAAGCTGAAGCCTTTGGAGTAAGATCATTGCCTTTCCTGGTGGTGTGTCATTTGTTATGGTTATTTTCTGGCCAATTCATCACACACTGGCTGCTAGGTCTGTGCTGTGTGGAGCTCAGCTCACCTTGCTGTGCTGGAAACCTCCAGGGGCTGCCAGAGCCCAGGCAGGACCATGGCCCAGTGAGCCCCGGGTGGTGTGTTGGTGAGCAGGGCAGTGATTTGCACCACTGGCAGATGGCAATGCTTGACTTGTCCTTCTGCAAACATCTGCACCCACGTTTGACTTCTCCCCATGCGGTCCAAACCCACCGGCAGAGCAATCAGAGCCTTTGCTCTCCCTTTGCAGGCCTGTCCCTGGGAAGGCAGTGATGGGATGGGGTTAGTGGGGAGCAGTGTTTTGGAGACTGTGCTGCTCTTTGCACAGCCCATGCTGCTGGCTAATTCCCCTTCCCTGGCTGTAGAGCTGAGTTAGTGCTGATGGATGGAGCCCCATCAACGGGGGAACGTGTCTCTGCCCACAGCCTGAGCTCGGTGGGACACTGGACCTCCTCTGCGGAGAGCAGCCCTGGCACAGGGATGGCGTCAGCCCCAGCGCTGAGCAGAGACCACTGCAGGACAGTTTGTCCTCTGCTGATGGGAGCATTGCCTGGGACAGGAGCAGCCTCACAGCAGTCGGCAGAGACTGCATGTCCCACAGAGGCCTTTGCCAAAGCCTTGCTCTTCCCCCCATCTGCCGCCCCGTCAGCCAGCAGCAGGCTTTTCAGCTGGGCAAGAAGATACTTGTTCCAAAGTAAAATCATTAGCAGCTCAGCCCTTTACCTGAACCTGCTGCAGAGAGGCTCTCGCTCTCTCTTCTCCTTATCCTAGTGAGATGCTCCTTCAAACTTGTCGTGCAGAAAATATAATGACTTTCTTCTCCTCACATGCACTTGTTCTTACTTGCTGCTACCGGGAGGGCACAGCAGTTAAGCACACATGAATAACTTCACACTAGCAATGCAGACATCTGTAGGATTATTTTTTTTTTCAATGGTTCTAGTACCAAAATATCCCAGGCACGAAGCGATTTGGACCCTACATTTACAGCTAATGATCTATACAGTCCTCTGAGGAAACTGCACGGTGGCCCTGCTAATGGCTTCAAGGGGAAGTGCTCCAGGCCCTGGCTGCTGCTGCTTGGGGAATTCTGCTTTCGGCTCCGGCGTGCGATAAAAACCTTTCCTTACTGTTGCAGACATGATGGTTCTTCTGGAGAAAGGAAAGGCATTGACTGAGCTAATGCCATTAACCGCCTTTAAGCACACCCAGAGGATGTAAAAGCAAACACCGCCCGGTCATTCAGCCACTGGGGTTAGCAAAAACCAGCCTGGGATTTCCCTGGCGTGCCCTGCTCTGGGGGTGCCGTATCGCTGCCCCACACCCCAGCAGAGAGCGGGCAGTGACAGAGCCCGGGGCGTAGACCCAGGGCACTGGTGATCTCCAGGGCGCTGAGGGTCCCCTGCTGTGGGTGAGGCAGCCTGGCAGCCCCCCGCCCTGGGGGAAGACACTTTCCCTGGTGTCTCATTTCCCCCTGTGTCTCATTTCCCCCTCATCGCTAGCCTCTTCCCTCTTGGGGAAGGAGCTTCTCCGGAGAAAGAGCTGCAATATGCCCCTTTTCTTTTGCAAGGTGTATCTCGGCAGCGCCGGCCTGAGCGTGCTCAAATCCAGCAGAAGCCACTGTCACCTGCTGCATGGCGCTGCCCGTCACGGGTGGAGTGTGACCCGGGCAGGAGGGTGCCCACATTGAGGGTTCCCCCCCTCTCACCATTACCCCGTCCCGTGCCAACCACCCCGCCGTGCCTCCCGCCTCCGCCTGACTCACGCCGAGTACCAGCTCCTCGCCCGTGCGGTGGCAGATTTTGCAATCTGTTTTAATGAGGTATTTACGAGTCCAGAGGCTGGCTCCTTGCACAAGGAGTGCGGCCTGGCCCCGGCAGCTGCTTTGGGCTTTTCATTGACATTCCTGCAACTCGCCCGATTGCAGCACAGGCACGGTGGAAAACATTTAGACATCAGAAATGCCACATTAATTACGTCTTAATTGATACCTCCACTCGGGGACAAATGAAACCGGAACATCTCTACTGCCCTGGGAGCCTGCCACTTACAGATTTACAGCTAAAAATACCGCGGCAGTCCCGTGGCTAATCAACTTCACTGCTTACCCTGGGTGAGGTTATGGAATGGTCTCGGGCTGGCGCTGCGAGCGGCGAGGGACCAGCCGACTGCGAACCCCGGGGAGGGCTGCGTGGTGCTCCCAGCACCCGGCTGCCAGGCAAGGGGCAGCTCAGCCCCACGGCAGCCTCAGGACAACGCAGTTACACTTCTCAAGCCTACGACCCAGCCAGAGAGCCCCGACATGAGGCTCCTCGCACGTTCCTGTTCCTGTCCTTGGAGGCTGCGGAGAGAAAAATCTCATCCTTTTGTCTTTTGTAAGAGACCTTAAGTGCCCCGTGGGTTTCCCCACAGTGTGAGATTTCCAGCTGGCTCAGGAATCACACTGGGTGCTCGTGAGGGCCCTTCTGCACGTTGCCCTCCAGCAGCTACAGCACATCCCCAGGGACCTTCCCCCCCACCTCCTTACAGGAACGCACACAGAGAGGCCAAATCGCCACAGCGACCCCGGTTTCTTTAAATTAACTGTCATCTTTATTTTCTTCACATAATGTGCAAACAGAGGAGATCGCAATGGTGGTGTTCTTAAAAATAACAAAATGTATTTGCATACATTTCCCTATGTACAGGTGAACAGCCACAAGTAAGAGTCTTCTTTTGCACAGCAAAAGATCTAGAGCGTTGAGACCGGGGACAGGACCGGGGCCCAAAACAAAAAAAAAAAGGGTCTAACTTAAAAATAATAATTAAAAAAAAAATTAATTCACAACAGTGCAAACCTCTGGGACACGACAGCACGATGGAGTGACTTTAATGTAGAAAAAGGCGAGGGGGGGGGACGGATGAGGGGGGGGCCCTCTCGGATGTGAGATTTCTGACTGTAAACAAGGCGCAACACCTCCCTCCCGCCGCCCTCCCCGGGGAAAGCTATTCCAGGAATTTGGCAGATCTTCAAGGGCTGAGCCGGAGGTAAACAGCCCGCGGCCGCCTCCCCTCCCCGGGCCACGGCGGGATGGGGCCCGGCTCCGGCGGCCACCGGGAGGGGCGGTCGGTGCCCGGGATGCTGCTGCGGGACGCGGGGGTGCCGCAGAGAACCGGGACAACCGGAGGGACCGTGCGCTCCCGGAGGGGCCCCGGTGCGCCGCGCAGGGACCGTGCGCTCCCGGAGGGACTCGGTGCATCCCGGCGGGACCGTGCACGTCCCAAGGGACCCCGGTGCGCCCCGGCGGGGCCGTGCACGCCCGGAGGGACCCCGGGGCCGTGCGCTCCCGGAGGGACCCCGGTGCGACCCGACGGGGCCGTGCACGCCCGGAAGCGACCGCGCAGCCCCGGCGGGGCCGAGGGCTCAGCCGGTCTCGGGGTCGCCGGGGGGCGGCTGCTCGGCGCCGTTGCAGGGCGGGGAGGCGCCGTCCGGGCCGTTGCTCTCCAGGGAGGACTCGCTGCCCGTGCTCTCCCCGGAGAGCAGGCGGCGGACGCGGAGGTCGGCGCGCAGCGAGCGCAGGTCGTTGCCCAGGCTGAGCTCGCCCAGGTCGCGCAGGAGCTGGCCCAGCTCCGGGCTCTCGCCGCGGCCGGCGCCGGCGCGCAGCAGCTCGCCCTCGGGCTCGCCCAGCGCCTCCAGGATGTCCTCGCAGTCGCAGTGCATGGCCCGCTCCTCCTGCTCCTCGCCCAGCAGGTCCTCCGTGATGGAGCCCAGCTTGGGCGCGCTGCGGCTCCGCTCCACCGGCGGCTTGTAGCAGCACTGCCCGTTGAGCAGCTTGCGCAGCGGCACCAGCGGGATGCTCTGCTCGCCCACCAGCTGCTGCTGCTGGTGCCGCGCGTCGTCCCGCTTCTTCAGCCGCCGGAACTCGGCCAGCGCCGTGGCCGAGGTCTGGTAGAGCAGCAGGGCCATGGCCTTCGCCTTCTCGGGCTTGGAGACCAGCACGGCGTGGCAGCGCAGCATCACCGCCTTGTGCTTCAGCTCGTGGCGGTAGATCCAGGCGAAGACGCGCGGTAGCCGCGGGTCGGCCACGCAGTAGGTGACCCGGTGCAGCAGGTAGAGATGGCCGGGCCGGCGCAGCCCCTTGTCCTCGGCGTGGGCCATGCGGATGCCCTGCGCGCTGATGGTCAGCTTCATCTTGGTGCCCTGCCGGCCCGCCTCGCTCTTGCTCCAGATCTTGCAGACGGCCAGGTCGGTGCAGCCCTCTCCCTTGGACTGGATGGTGGTGGCGTTGCCCAGGTAGAGCACGGTGTACGTGGGGTCCTCGCTGGTCACGCGGAATTTCCGCCGCTTGGAGCGGAACATGCTGCCCACGCGGTGCAGGGCGCTCTCGGGGCAGGCGCGGGCCAGCGAGGTGAGGGCCGAGTAGTGGACGCTCACCGCGTACCCCTTGGGCTTGCTCTGCCGCCGCCCCTCGCCCGCCACCAGCTCCACCTTGCTCCGCTTCCAGGGCAGCAT